TTACCCTATCGAACAACCCACGATTTCTTGGCAACGAGAATCAACGAAAATTAACCCGTTTTTCTTAAATAACTAAGCGAAACCTTTATAATTTTCTATAAAACTTTATATATATATTCTTTATAGTATATTACACCTTATATTAAAGCTGCACTAAGATATATTACGTAATTATAAAGCTATACGTATTTAACTAACTTTTAAGAAAAATCTTATTTACTTCTAGTTAGTACTATTATATTTCTATAACAATGTATAAAACTTATAGTATATAGTATTTATAACGTAATAAAGGTTTCTAAAAAACTTCTATAGAGCTAGCTCTTCTAAGTATAGCGTAATAAGAGATAGAAGTTTAAAAAAATCTTTCTAGAGTTTTCTTCTCTAGCTATATATATATATTAATAATCTAGCTATATAAAGTTATATATTACAAGATTATATATACTATAAGCCTTCTATATATTTAGAAGTAATAATTTTAAAATAGTTTTAGTATCTTTCTATCTTTCTATACTATACTACTAAAAAGACTTTACTTTTAAATAACTACTTAAAGCTACTATATTATTAGTTAATAAGCTCTATATAGTTAAAACTAACTATAATATATAAAATAATAACTTTATAGAGCTAGATTAACTATATATATATATAGTTAGAAGAAGAAAACTCTAAAAAGAAATTTTTTAAACTTCTATCTCTTATTACGCTATACCTAGAAGAGCTAGCTCTATAAAAGTTTTCTAGAAACCTTTATTACGTTATAAATACTATATACTATAAGTTTTATATATTATTATAGAGATATAATAGTACTTACTATAAGTAAACTAGATTTTTTCTTAAAAGTTAGTTAAATACGTATAGCTTTTTAATTACGTAATATATCTTAGTGCAACTTTACTATAAGGTATAATATACTATAGAGAATATATATATAAATCTTTATAGAAAAATATTAAGGTTTCGCTTAGTTATTTAAGAAAAACGGGTTAATTTTCGTTAATTTTCGTTAATTTTCGTTGCTAAGAGAAGGTAACCAGCTTGCTTGTATAACTAGCTTGCTTGTAAAGTACGTTAGATTAAAAAGATAAGGCTAAGAGGTTATATAATATATAGCTAGTAATATAGCTATATATAATTAATATTATATTAGAATATTAATTAGTAAGAGGTATATATTTATATATTATATACTATACTTATTTAAATACTAATTTATTTATTTCTAGCTTAATATTATAATCTACGCCTTTTCTATATAGTAGTAATAAGTTAGAATTCTTTTTAGAGAAATAAGCTATAGTCGCGCTAGTATATTCTAGAAATAGAAGCTTTTAAGTAATTAACTAGTAGAGCTTCTTCTTAGAGTTAGTAGTAGAGGTTTTCTTCTTATTAGTAATAAGTTAATTAATCTTATAGATACTAAGATACCTAATTATAATATCTTTTCTACACGTATTAATTATAAAGATAGTAGCGCTAACTATATTAATATTAAGCCTAGCCTTTAGGTATATTTCTTATAAAATAGATAGCTTTTTTAGCTTATAGAGTAACCTAGTAGGTAGGTTAAGATTCTTAAGCTATCTATCTATCTTATATAGGTTTTCTTAAAGCTACTAGCTTTATAATTCTCTCTTCTCTTATTATATTACTCTTAGCTTTTCTACTACTAATATTAAGGCGTTATAGTAATTAGTATTAGCTTAGTAAGCTACTTAAGCTTTAGTAGAGAATAGAGGTAATTATATAGAAATAAATATATTACGTTTATAATTAATTAATTAATTAGTATCTAGCTATATTAGTATACGCTACTTATAGTTAACCTAAACGTTAGCTTTTTTAAGTAGCTTATAACTAATTATTACGTTATAGTAGCTAGTATTATAATATATAAAGTAAGTACGTATTTAGTAGCTTTTAAGTACTAAATTAGCTTTAAAGTATTTATCTATCTAGCTATTAGGTTATTTATTATAACTAGCTAGAGAGATTAGTTCTATATATAATAGCTTAACGTAGAGGTTTTTTCTAAGAGTCTAAAGATACTTTAGGTATACTAGAATATAACTACCTACTCTAGTATTAATTAAGTCTCTAAGCTTAATTATAAGACTATTTATAGATATTTAGTAGAGTAGAGTAAACGTAGAACTACTAAATAGCTTTTTATATAGATTTATTACTCTAGTAGATAGCTCTAGAAAGAAGACTTCTTCTAGAGCTAGACTTTTTTTAAATTATCTAATTTATATTCTAATATATTATTCTTAGGTACTTATAGCTCTATAGACTTTATAGATACTTTTTCTAGATTAACGTTCTTAATAGCTTTCTACGTAGTAGAAGTATTTAGGTAATTATAGCTTATATAGCTAGTTTACTAGTATTAGAAGTAGATAACTAGCTTCTTAATTACTAGAGTTTTATTAGATATTAGTAGAATATCTAGAAAAGTAATAGGCGCGTAATATAGTATTAACGTAAGTATATTACGTTTTTTAGTCTTTCTAGATACGTAAGCTTCTTCTAAAGTAAGCTCTTTAGTAAAGTCTTAAGTAAGATCTATATATTAATTATAATTATTAGTATACTAACGTTAGTAGATACCTATCTACGTAAAGTAAAAGAAGTTAACCTAGAAGTATATAAAGTTAGTAGTATTTTAAAAATATAGCTTTTAGAAATTATAGTAGATATTTAGTTTTTTATAAAAGTTTATATAGCTTCTTTCTAGTTACTTAAGTATATATTTATAGAAAATTTATATACTACTATTTTTTAGAGTATATAGAATTATAGAGAAAGTCTAGTATATATTTTTTTTTATTCGCGTATATATATAGGCTATAATAGTCTTCTTAGTATTCTTAACTATCTTTTTTATATACTAGTTATAATTAGCTTAAAGCTTATCTTATAAGCTATCTCTCTATTACTTAAAGATAACTATCTTACTATCTAATAGTAAAAGAAAGTCTAGAAACTTAGTAGAAAGCTTTATCTAGCTCTCTAAGTATTATTTAGTTACTAGTAGTATAGTAGGTATATATATAGTTAGATAAGAATCTAGAATTAAGTTATCTAGTAGTTATAAGAGCTAGCTTTATAGTCTTTACTACTATAAGTATTCTAGAATACCTAGCTAGATAGGTTAGCTATAAGTAGTACTATCTCTATAAGCTATAAGAATAGAGTACTAGTAGAGTAGGTTAGGTTAAATTTAGCTATCTAAAGGTAAGAAGTAGAAGAATACTCTAAGAGCTCTCTATATATAGAGAGCTAAGCGCTAAGATACTAGATAAAGTTATATAACTTAGGTAAGGTTATATAACTCTAGTAAATACTAAGCTAAACTATTATAATTAGCTAGTACTTATAGAGTCTAAAGTTACCTAGCTTTAAGTAGCTAACGTATAGAAAAAGAAGTATAATTTATATAAAAGAAAGTAGATTTAGAAAGAAAATACTCTTATAATTAAAGCTAGCTTATAGCTAGTTACTTAAAGAGAAGCTATAAATTAGAATAAGAGTAAAAAGTAGTATAAAGAGGTAGTAGTATATAATAGCTAGCTAGCTTAGCAATACTATAGACACTATAATAAGCTAGAGTATAATATATAAACGTGCTAGATAGTTAAAGATAATATAAATAAGTTAGATAGCTTATCTAGATTTATCTTAAGTAGCTTAGAGTTAGAGAAATCTAAATAAGATAGTAGCTTTTTAGTAAAAGCTTAGTATTTTTAGAGCTTTTAGTAATATAGAGCTTTTGCTAATAAAGTACGTTATTCTATAAACCTAAATTATAATTACTCTACTTATAAACTCGCTACGTAATTAGATACGTATGCTAAGCATTACTAACTGTTAGACACGCATGCCAAGCATCACCGACTGTCGGACATGTATGCTAGGCGTTCCCGACGCGATACATGGCTTGTGTAGTTTAACAAATCTTCGATATTTTGCAGTTCAAGCAATCGACTCTACTGGTAACGTAGTATAAAGATCGAAGTACGTTCGTCTGATGTTTGCCCCTCCGATCATCAAGCCTTCCATCCACAGCCCAATTACGTCATCTTGTGCTTTGCACACCGGTAAGCATTTCCTCAGTCTACATTAGCATCAAATAATAACATCTACTCTGGAGCGCACTATGCCCGAATCAACGTGCTTACACTCCTCCGTTGTAGTAGGCTCCTGTTATCCCACAGAAGGAATGGATTTCCTACAGCTGTGTACGAAGATCACGTGTCAGTGAGTTGACTGCCTGGTAGGCAGGAGCGCCACCGAGGGGACTGTCTAGACGGCAGCTAGTGGCGTTAGGCAGTAGGGAGACAGCAGTCACAGCTATGGCTGCTGTAATAGATAGAAAGAATTATCACACTTGTATCCTTTGTTCAGAGATTCAACTTATGACAGTTACCATCGTCCGACTGACGTCCGCGACCCCTACGAGTCCGTAGATCGTCACTATCTACAAGGACCTTAATGCGCGACGCTGCTACTAGATGCCGGTCGAGTGACTACTTAATATTGGTTTCGTGGCATGAAGTCTAATTCTGTGGATAGGCTCGATATGTGGGAAAATCATTCTTTTATTAAAACTATCAAGGGAAATAGTATCTACATCATTCAGATAGTTTGCCAAATGGTCTATCAAGCCCCGCCTGAATCATCGCCATGGTTATCGCCATCCTGCACCTTGAACTTGCTAGGCATCAATCCCCACACTACCGATCGACACAGGAGATTGCGGGTGCTCGCCCGCGATAGCAAGTCGCGTCCGAACGACCCTTCCGTTACACCTCTAGCTGAAGCGTCCGTTCACGCGGATCAGCGCCTTCCGCTCAGCATGGAGAAGAACTATAAAAGAAGTCGCAGATCATGGACTGCTACCTTCACAGTCACCCTTATCCTTCTGCATATAAGGGAAAGAGACATCTGGAGGCTATTGTATTGGGTGTTTCGCAATGAAGGGGTACGTTGCCCGCATCCAAGTCCAAAATAGTTATTGACCCCAGCGTAGAGCTACACATGGCGACATCCCGAACAAGCCACCACCCTTATCAGGAGAAGTGTGCACGTCAGCAACGTTCTCTTAGCCCATCTCCATTTTTCTAGAACGGTGCCTCGTGAATTATACAGCATCGAGAAAGAATTGAAGTCGCCTCAGATATCAGCCAAGCAACGATACAATTGGATGAATGAAGAAAGCGTGGATGTTTCCCTATGTCATTTGGCATTTGGCCAGGATGACAGCCCATCGTTTGCCCAGGCGAACTCTCAAGGCTATGGTTGCTAGGAGGAAGCAGCGGGATCATGTGAACGTCGAGAGGATTATTTGAACTTTCGAACGAACGGAGATATACACCTCGTTAATCGAGCCGCATGCCTCTACCTGCAGGCTGCGTTACTTCACTGTGTCATGGATCTTCTTGATAAATTGCGTACCTTATGAAGCGGGCCGCGTGTCTGTAGGTACCGAAGAACTTCTGCGTTGTTCTCGTTGAAGGTGTGAAGCCTTCGTATTATGGAATCGGGATTATCGTCTACCCTCCCTGACGATATGGAACGAAGCTGCAAACGCCGTCTGAGTTCCGCTTCTGAGCAGTCTAAGGCTAGTGTCGCGTGACTATTGCAGACCTGGCGTGGAGAGTCATTCGACGTTTGTTCGTCCTTTAGAGAGATATACCTTGACCTCAAAATCGACTGCTTGGGCGACACTTCTTGGGAAACCGTCTAGAAGGAACCCGTGTTTCCCCTGTGCTCGTGCATTACTGATTTCTTTGCTCAAGAGTTGGGTAGTCAGCTGAGCTGGAAGTAGCACCGATTTTTCAATGCTTTCTGGAATGAAATCTCGATAAGGAGAAATCGGTCGCTTTGCTTCCTCGCGCAGCAAATCGCCTACTGAGATATGGTGAAGGTCAAACTCTTCTGCTAAGCGGGTGCAATTCGTCCCCTTCCCGACACCAGGCCCCCCTTTAAGATATTAGCAAAGGTAGGCAGAGAGATCAAGATGTCATACCAGAGACGAATATCACAAAGAGACCCACCTCTTTTCTCGCCGCCACCTCTTCATGCTTCTGCAAGCAAGCGTCCAATAGAGGCTGCAATTCCGTCAACGTGACGGCTTCCTTCAATTTCATGAATTCACTCATGTCGATCCCGTCCCGTTCTTCGTAAATCACCGCTTGGTGCATACACTCCAATTTATCAATCTGCCGGACTAGTACTGCTGCGTCGCTCTTCCCTTCCTCGTATTCATACCACAAATCGGTCATCGAGTTCGCGAACGCCGGGTGCGAGGAACGCAGGGTACACGCGAGAAATTTGAAGGCCATCTCTTCTCGGACAAATTTTCGTTCTACTTGATATTAGAAGGGATTTAAAGGACCGAGGATCCTAACCTCGACTTATCCCGTCCGCAGGAGCAATATCCCCTACCAACGCCTCTCCCATGTCATGTATCAGTGCCATATAGACAGCTTTCGTCCGCGTCCGGTCATCAAACTAGCCCTGTTAGTCATAGCATGAGTGATTGACTATAGAGACGGAACTCCGTTCGCCATAAGGCACATAATAGCCATGCGGTACATGTGGTCGCTAACACTCTCGGGATTGGGCACATCGCGCAAGTCCCAGCCACGGCGCAAAGTGTTTTTCAAGTTTTCGATTAACTCAAGGAAGAAGAACTCAGCCGCCATATTTGAAGAATTGGGGCAGTTAGTGAAGTAGAACAATGAGGCGGGAAGCTATCGTAACGCGGGGTCGTCGGCGTTTGGCGAAGTCTCGGCGTGTGATGAGTCATGCCGACGTTCTTCTTGACAAGCCTCCGATCGGCGCGTTGTCGTCCTTTTCTCACATCACACTCCAGTTGGTCACAAACAAACGCGACAAGCAAGCCAATCCCGACCTACGTGTTTGCCAGCAATGGCGATTCCGACTCAGTCGGAAAATTCTCGAATCCAAAACAATAGGTAAAGTAAAGGGTTAGATGGCTTCCGCAGTACTTGTACTCCAAATCCAAATAATAAAAGTAATGGAGATGCAGACAATAAAGGTACTGTTCATCTAGCCCCTTATGTAAATACCTTTAATGCTAATAGGACTAAATAGAACACCCTTCTTAATCTAATACAGACCTTATAAGGCCTCCCCGCCTCGCGTTTATTACCGTCAAAGCGCGGCAATAGAGAGCTACTCAGTAACCTGTTGTCGTTGAATTCGGCGGTTTACTCCGACAACTTTAATACCGCGCAGGTCAGGCCTCTCCTTAATGCAGTCCTCAACAAACAGCCCGAAGAAGTCATATAAGACGCTACTTCCAAGGCATGGCTCGACTTTGCACGATATGCGCGAGAGGTGCTCGCCGCTCAAGACAGTTGCCGCTTTGTCCTCGGCTTTACTCTCTGCAGATTGCTAATGCAATTATAGGAATTTGACTAACTAGGGGGCATCGCCTCTACGCAGTTTGACATCTATAAAGACGGTCTATAATTTATATCCGCAGTGCTTGGATTCCTAGGTGAGTAAGGAGCAGCTTGGATTCGACCCTTCTGTTATTACGGCTAGAAATATACGGTACATTAACATTGAGCGAAAGAACTAGAGAGAGGGACTTATTATTGAGAAGGTGATCTAGCGGTTACCTTGCATCGCCGATTAAGCGACAACATGCTGGAAAGCCTATTGCTAAGGTGATGAGTCGCGCAAGCCTCTTGTTATCAAAGACTTGTAGCAGTTCCCAGAGCGTGAAGAGGAAGGAGAGTTGCCCGGACACGTCAGAACTAGAGGTTCGTGTTGACTCTGTTGAGACAAATTTATAGCGGCACCTAGGGAACTCCGAGGACGGCTCAGCACGATTGGATGTGGGACCACGATGGTTATCGTGACAATTGGCAATTGCTCCAGATGGGTTGTAAAGTCCAGGAACCGGGGAGTGCCCACACATCCACCAGGACAGCCATCCATACAATGTCCCTTGTGGAACACATGGTACCCAAAAATGTGCGTATTCCAAGTGCTGCGCTGTGCTCCGAGAGTAATTACACATCAATAAAAGTTATGAAAACCCTGATTCTTTGTGTGTCCCTAAAATAATCCCAATAACTCTGCCGATCAACGGACCAGACCTGGAACTCCGGTGGAAAGTACCCAGCATGCTCCCAATCGAATATACCAACCACATGTAGACTTTTCGGGCCTATCATTATATTATAAGCAGCTAGGTCGCCGTGGCGGAAGACATAAGAGGCGGAGTTGGCAATTTTTGGTTCCCAGTGCGTTCTCTCGTCGTACTCAAGGGTCCAAGGCGGCGGCAGGACAAATCCGTCAAGCCCTGTCGTTGTATGCTGTAGTTTCCCTAGCTGGGGAAGCACCTCCTTAACAATGAACTGCTTAGCATTTTCCTTCGCGATGCTACCGCATTCCTCGCAGGGTCCCCCTCCGACATGGCGTTTCCCCTCTTGCATCCGGCATTGGTTCTTGATCATTTCAAGAACGATCCCATGAAGGAGCTCTGTTTCAATGTACGCCAATCCATTGTCGTCTTTCCCAGCCCTGATGACTTTGGGCACAGGGATAGTGGTCTTCTCCGCTACTAGTTGTAGAGCCGTAGCTTCGTTACGGAGGCGCTCTTCGATCCAATGTCTGGTACTTATGGATCCGTCCTTCCGACGCTCTCGCTCGTAATCAGGAAGATCACGCTTGATAAAGGTGGTTTGAGTTTTGATATAGCTGACGTATGGTCAGACAGGGTCATCGTCGGTCATGATCGTAGACGATAACGGGGCTGGAGGCAAGGTCAACTAGCAGGAAGGATAAAAGGATACGGTGCGGGAGTGGTACATGGCCCAACGCGGGGTTCTCATGGCGGTGAAGGGTGTCACGTGCTGCGTCCGCCAAGCGGTCGGGTAGCGGTCAGCTTTTCGCTGCGCCTTCTATGCGAAGCGACTAGGTCTCAATCCAATCATTGAATATAGCCAACGATTCTCATGATTGTGGAATTTCAGCTACGAAATTGGGCTACGATGACCGATCAACACCGATTCCTTTCGCCGCTCTGAATGTCCCCTCATCTGCCCTTGTGATTCGACCACAGAGTCCAGCGCATCCGCAGTTTGGATCGTTGTCGTACTTGTCGCTGATAGGCTTGTAACAATAGGCGCATTTATAAGCGGAACCGGGATTCGCCGCTCCGCAGTCGATCATAACTGCGGAGTGGACATAGGCGTGGTTCGGAGATTCCCAGTGTGTTCCGCATTCTATGTGCAATCACTGAGGCTTGTTGTCATCGGGATGATGGTCCGCATCCTCGCGACACCGTATCCACACACCCAGCCTCATCGGGGGCGGGAGGTTTAGGTTAGCTTCGTGAAAAGCACAGAGCTTGTGCGGGCTGTTTTTAAAGTTGGAAGCATCATACCACGTCAGGTCGGGCTTGTGGCGTTCAAAATCATACATGACCTGCTTGGCGATCTGGGGAACTTATCCGTATGACCAAGGTGTTGCCAGACACATGGTTGCTAGTAGGAAGGCAATGCAGGAGGCAGAGTCCGACGCACCAAATCGACAGCCGACAGCGCAATGATGGCAATGTCAAAATGAGCCCGAATAAGGACATGAACGAACACGGCCAGGACAATGTGGATGACAACGAAATCTCAAGCGATAGCGATTCTGATGCCGCACCTGACGGCCGACACCCACGCGTAAAAGATCGGACACGTCGGGCTTAGAAGAGATCAGATGATGCGCGCTTGTTGGCATATGGGGAGAAGATGTGGATGGGTTGGGCGGAGATACGCGCTCGCTTTCCCAATCGCACTCCGGGGCAGTAAAAAGCACGTTGGTATGTATTGCAAGCAAAATCATCAAGCTATTGTCTATATACAATGTTTAGATGAATGTACCCCTTGACCAATGTAACGCTCAGAAAAAGTGAAATAAGGTGCCATAAACCTGATTTCATCAGAGGGCTGGACGATCATGCCCGCCGTCAACTCGGATAGCAAGACCCTTCTTGATGCCTGGCGCATGACTAAGCTAGAAACTGCTGGAGACTTGGATTCCATTCGCGATGATATTAGAAAAGAAAGGATAGAAAAGGAAGCCTTCTATGTATGCGAACTCCGTACATACCCTTCACACGTCAGTCTTCTCTGCAACAAGAACCGCTTCCAATATCTCCTCAACCGACTCAAACTCTCCATACCAGCACTTCGCGACAATGGACCCAAAACGCACATTCACCGTCTCAGGAAACACGCCCTGCCTAAACAAGCTCTCAACCTCTTCATCATCCATCTCATCATACGGCCTCTTCCCCGTACTAATCTCATAGATCAAGCTCCCAATAGCAAAGATCTCAGTAGCAAGGGAAATCTCCCTATTCCCAGTGACTGGAAACTTCTCATAGCGAGTTTCCGGACGAACTAAATTCTTCTTGTCGCCGATCTTTGAACCAGAAAAGTCGCAGAGGAGGAGCGAAAGATCGTCTGCGACAAGGAAGTTTCGGGCGCTAATATCTGCTTGGAGAACGCGCTTATCATGGATAAAAGCGAAGGTTGTCAGAGCGCTCTTAATCCAACTAAGCCCCTTGAAGCATCTCATATCATCACCCGATTTGCGTAGGAATTGCCGTAGAGTTCCATTCTTGATGTACGGGAATTCAATGCCGAGATCAGTAATCTCCAAGTAGGGAAGAAGTCCCTCGAGCCTGCCGAGATGTCTATATATCTCCTTCTCGCGGTCCAAATATTCCACTGACTCTTTCTCAAAGATTTTGTACTTGATTCTTTCTTTTTCGGTGCAGCCGTCGAGGTGCCAGGCTTGCGGCGCTTTCAGTACTTTCTTCTTATCGCCGGAGATCCAAAGCATGCTGCAGTCTCCTTGTTGGTCTGCCATTTTGCTGTATTCGAGAGATGGTCTCTTGGTGACGGGGCACTGGAGGCGGCAGGATAGAGCGGCGTCACGGGCTGCGTAGTCGGTCATTGTGGATTTTGGGGGGTTCCTGTTTTGGCGTGAATACTGGCTCGCTTTATGCACCCCAGCGCATGTTGGGGATAGACTTACAGGTAATGAATGTGTTAAGAGAATGTGCTTTCTCACCGGATGGCTGGTTAAAAGGTTCTGGGTGAACTGAATGGAGAGGTGGAAGATGGTGAAGAGATGCGCGGCGGGATACCTATATATTCCTGCTCCCAATCGCCGATGTGGACCCTGGGAGTGTCGGACAAACTCTGCGCTAGAGCGAGAACTAGACCTACTTGGGCTAGGCTAGACCGCATCAGCATCCCGCTAGTGCCACCCTAGACTAGAAATAGATACATAGTTAAAATATTTAATATCTACCTACTTAGCGTTTATATTATAAAGATTAAATTAAATTAGAGTAGTATTCTACTTTAAAAAAACCTAGTATATAACGTACTTTACTATTAAAAGCTCTATACTATTAAAAGCCTTATAATTTCTTAGTAAGAAAAATTAATAAAAATTAATAGGTTTTTCTTAAATAACTAAGTAAAACCTTAATATTTCTCTATAAAAATTTATATAATATACTTTATTATTAAAAGCCTTATATTATCGAAAGCTTTACAATTTCTTAATAACGAAAATTAATAAAAATTAACCTATTTTTCTTAAATAACTAAGTAAAAACCTTAATATTTTTTTATAAAAATTTGTATATATATTCTTTATAGTATTATAATTATAGAATTAAAAACAGAGTTAACTAGCTAGAATAGAGAAAACGGTAGACTAAGCCTAGAATTATAAGATAAGAGGTTACGTGTAGAGTTATAGAAATAATTAGAATTACGTAACGTAGATTAAGTAGATTAAAGAAATTAGAACCTAATCTATAGATTAGAATCTAATCTAAAAGATCTATAGAAGCTAGGCCTTAGCGTCTAATCTAGCTAAGATAGTATATATATATAACTAGAAGAAGCTTACTCTTTATAGTCTCTTATAGTTATTACTTTAATTATTAAATTACTATAGAGACTTATAATTTATAGTATTATTACCTCTACCTCTTTATTACTAAAGATTCTAGCCTAAAGTATACCTTTTACCTTCTCTTATAAAAGTAAGCTCTAGTCTTAGTTAAGAGAATACCTTATAATAAAATAACTATCTAACGTTAAAGAGTAGAACTATTATATTAATAGTTAGAACCTAATCTAGAAAGGTCTAAGCCTAGAAGCTAACTATAGAAGAATAGATTATAGAACTCTAATAGGTTATTATAGTACTTTAGAAGATAAGCGTTTACTAGATAGAGAAGCTAGCTATAGTAAAGCGCTAGACCTAGGCTAAGATTACTCTACCGTAATACTTTAATAGTAAAAGAGAGAATCTTAATATATTTCTAGTAGCTATAGAGCTCTACCTATAATATAACACTATAGTATTTCTATAGAATAAAAATAAGATTCTAGAAGCTATAATAAATATAGAAGAGAAAGCTTTTACGTAGACTAAACTCTATATATTAGACTAGCTAGAAAATAAGAGTAATATAAAGAGAATATAATAGTCTATAGATAAGATCTTTAAAAGCTAGACTAGGTTTACAAAATACCTTAGAGAGACGTTTAGAGAAGTTAACGCATATAAGGTAGTCTAAGAAAGGCTATTCTAGCTATAATAGACTAGATTAGTATTCTAGTATATAGCTATGTTTAGATAGCTAAGCGTCTACCTAGACTAGAATAACTTTACGCTAGTAGAACTCTTCTATAAGAGGCTAAAGAAGTTAGTTAAAGATAATATAGCGCACGCTAAATAATCTAAAAACCTAAGTAATATAATAGAAATAGTAGTAAAGATTAATAACTAGTAGTATAAATAAAACCTAGAACGCTAATAGAGTAGAGACTACTCTATACTACTAATAGTTAGAACTAGATAACTATAGACTATGTTCTAAAAGAACTCTATAGACCTAGACTAGATTAAGACCTTAGAGAAGAGAAAACAAACTCTATAAAATAAGAAAAAGGTATAATACTTTAAGAAAGAACTATGCCTAGTCTATAGAGAAAAAGAATACTTTACACAAGAATACCTAAAGAAAAAGAAAATAGTTAGAATAATTTAGGTAGACTATAATAGTTTCTCTTAGATAGTATACTATAATAATAGCTATATAATATACTAGAAGAATAAGGTTAACTTAGAGTAGTACCTAACTAGAGTCTAGGTAATTATGCTAGAATACTCTATATATACTAAACACCTTACTCTAGATACTATCTAATAACGTATTAACGTATAATAGTACTAAATATACGTAGAACTCTATAACGTATAGAGCTATTAGTATGTATACTAGAATATTCTATTTACTAACAAGAAATTCTAGAAGACCTTAGACGCTCTTAGAGAGGTAGCTAGGTTAGTAGAATACCTTATAGATAAAGAAGTATATATATATATCTAGAAGATATACTAAGGCTTTTCTATAAACTACTTCTAAGCTAGAAAGACTAAGTAGTAGTAACTAAGGTGCGTAGAAAGAAGTAGGTATTAAGACCTCTTCTATAAGGTATACTTAACTAAACTATTATAAGAAAAGAAACTTTCTAGACTATTTATATATAATTAGAAAATTAAAGCACGTCTATAGTAGAAGCTATACTAGCTATATAAAGGCGATTACCTAGAGTATAACTATATCTACTAGGCCTACCTATTAGTAATCTATAGAGAAGAGGGTAAGGTAGTAGTTAAGACAGCTATTAGTACCTAGAGACTAGATAAAGAAGAAATCTAAGTAGCTACGTATATAAATTCGCGCTCTAGAGAAGAAACTAGCTAAACAATAATACCTAAACTAGTTAAATAAACCTATAGTAAAGAGTACCGCGCTAAACTATAGAACTAATATGCTATAGAATACTAGTACTATTAAGAATAATACTAAACTATAGAATAGAGAGTCTAGTATCTAAATTACTATATACTAGACTATAGGTAGTACTTTCTAGAATAGAAGTACCTATATTATAGAGAAAGAGCTAAGAATAAATATACGAAACTCTACTAGACTATATACTTACTAGAACGCTACCTAGTATATATAGTAAAAAAGAAACAGAGATTAGTACTAGCTACCTCTATAAAGTTAAAAAACTAATAGGCCTCTAAGGTAGAGGTCTAGCCTAGAAAGGCCCTATTTAGACTATAGGTAAGATTATTACTCTAAAACCTAGAACGCTGCGCGTAAAAGCTATATTAGAAAATAAAAAGTTTATAGCTTATATAAATAGTAGAGTAGTAAAAACGTATATTTCTACTAGCCTAGTAAAACTATAGAATATACTATTTTAAGAGAAATAATAGCTATATAGAGTATAACTTGTAGATAACTAGCTACCTATCTTTAGCTAAGAATAGATTTACTTAAAAACTAAGGTATAGACGTTAGATATCTAGAGAATATAGAAATAATAATTCTATAATATTATAGAACTAGAAAATATAAACGTACTTCTAGAGCTAAATTAGCTATAAAGATATAACTCTAATATTAGTTAGATTAGGTTAGAACTCTAGAAAAGGCCTAAAGTAGTATAGAAGGCTAGAGTAAGATACTACCTAAGAGCTTACTAAAAGCTAGAGGTAAAGATTAGAAGAATATCTCTTATAGGTTTAACAAAATAAGTAAAGAAATAACCTTAAGACGTTAGCGTTGTGTAGATATAAAAGCTACAACCTAATATAGAGTAACTACCTTATAAAGTTAAGAAAGACTATAAGAAGTTTACGTTATTGTTTAATAGATAGAATAATAGCGTTCTACCTAAATATAAGCTATAGAACTATAAGATACCTATAGAAGATAAAGCTACGCTAAAACTAGAACTAATATACTTACTTAGCTATAGGTAAAAAGAGAAACTCTAAAAATATCTAGAAAGACTTCTACGAAAAGAATATATTTAAAAAAGCTAAAGTCTAATAGCCTTACTAGTACTATTTATACTAAAGAAGAATAGATAGTTAAGACTATATATTAACTATAGACAGCTTAACTAGGTAACTTAAAAAAATTAATATCTACTACCTATAATCTTAAAACTAATAGACTAGCTTATAGAAGTATAATAGTTTATAAAGTTTAATATTAGAGAAGAATATTACTAGATATAAATTAAGAAAGAACATAAGTAGAAAATAGTCTTTAGAATAAAAGAAGGCCTATATAAATATCTAGTTATACTATTTAGACTTACTAATATACTAGTAATATTCTAGAGTATAATTAACGCGGCTCTATATAAGTATATAGAAAGGTTTATAATAGCCTATCTAGATAACGTACTTATATATTTAAAAGAAAAACTAGAAGAATATAAGAACTATATATAGAAAACACTATAGAAGTTTAAGAAGTATAGACTTCTAATAGCTTCTAATAAGAGCGAATTTTATTACGTAGAAACTAGTTACTTAGAATTTTATCTAACTCGCAAGAGAATCTAGATAGAAATAGACAAGGTCTAGGTAGTTCTAGACTAGCCTATACTCTAAATAGTAAAAGAAGTATAATTCTTTCTAGAATTTACGAACTACTACTAAAAGTTTATCTAAGAGTATTTATAGATTACTACTCTACTTATAGAAGTTACTAAAAAGAACTAAGAGTTTAGGTAGAAAGACCTATAATAATAAGTATTTTATAAGAGCTAGGTTCGCGGTCTCTACTACTATAAGCGTCTCTAAACACCTAGCTAGGTAAGTTAGCTACAGGTAGCACTATCTCTACGAGCTATAAGAATAAGAGGTACTAGTAGAGTAGATTAGGTTAAATTTAGCTATCTAAAGGTAAGAAGTAGAAGGCTACTCTAAGAGGCTCTATATATAGAGGTGCTAAGCGCTAAGACGCTAGGCTAGGTTACGTAATAGAATTACGTAACTCGAGGTTATATAACCTAAGGTAAATTCTACACTAGACTATTATATATTTAAGATACTAAAATAAACGTTTACTACTATACTACTACTATAAACGTTTAATAAAAATAAACTAATATAAGTTAAGATAGATATATTAGACTAAGCTCTAGAAGTATACCTTAGCTAATCTAGAGAAGATAGTAAGTATTAACTATACTTCTTCTACTTAAGAAAGTTCTTAGTACTAGAACTTAACTATAACGTCTATAATAAGAAACTTATAGCTATTATAGTAGTAATAAAGAAATAGAGAATATACTTAGAAGGCGCTAAGTACTCTATTAACGTAGTATTAGACTATAAGAACCTTACAGCGTTTATAATAATAAAAACGCTAAATAGATAATAAGTTAGGTAGGTAGAAACGCTAGCTACGCTAGACTTTATAATTTAACACTAAAAGAGTACTAAAAATAAAGTAGTAGACAGGCTTAGCTAAAGAGCTAACTATATAGTAGCGGCTAAGAAGAAATACAAAGCTATACTCTACGCTAAACTAGATAGAACCTTAGAATATAATAGCCTATAGATTAGCTAGGTTATAGAAATCTAAGACTAGTAGAATAATAGGCTAGAGCTACCTAACAAGTAAGAGAAAAGAAAGGTACTAGAAGCTCTATAAATAGAATTTTTTTAGAAATTCTATAGCACGATAACGTATAGATACTAAGGTATTAAACGTACTCTTAAGAGACTAAGGCAAGAATATAAATTCTTAGTAATAAAGAAAAAAGTTATAAAGATAGTATAAGAATATATAGAATACTAGTAAAACAAAGTAGTTAGATACTAACTATATAGATTACTATAACCTCTAGAACTACCTATAGTACTATAGTAATATATTACTATAAACTTTATTATAAAACTATCTAGGTTAGTTAAACCTACGTTATAAAGAAAGTGTAACGCTATTCTAGTAATTATAGACTAATTTACTAAGTACGTATACTTCTACGTAACTAGTAAAACTTTTAAGACTAAAGAACTAGCTTATAAGGTAAGCTAATAACTATTTAGCTAGTATAGAATACTAGAACAAGTTACTATAGATAGAGATAAGTTGTTTACGTTTAAGTTCTAGAATACACTACTTAACTAAATAAGAATAAGTAATTAAATATTAACTAGCTTCTACCTATAGACTAATAGCTAGATAGAATAAACAAACTAAACTCTAGAAGAATACCTAAGAAACTACGTTAACTAGAAACAAAATAACTAGGTTAAGCTACTATCTATAGCATAACTAGTATATAATATAGTAAAATAAGAAACTATAGAGATAACTCTCTACTAAGTATATTATAGCTATAAGACTAGAATATATAGATTATTAGTATATATAGCTATAATCTCTCTAAAAGTAGAGAAGAAAGAACGCTAGATAAGAATAATCTATAATAGACTATAGAAAATAGTAGAGAAAATAACTTAATAAGTAAATAAGAAAAGAATTAAGAGACTAACCTTTAAGAAGAGAAATAAAGTTTTTATTCTATAAAAAAATCTACGTACTAAATAACCTAGTAAAAAACTTAACTACCTATAAATAGAGCTATTTAAGGTTAATAAGTAACTTAAATCTATTAACTTTAGATTAAGACTACTACTAATAATACGAATACACTCTATATTCTATAAATCTAAACTTAAACTAGCGCCTAATAATATACTACTTAATAAATAAACTAAGGTAGAACTAGACTAGAATTTTAAGGTTAAAAGAATACTAGATAAAAGGCGTATACAAGGTTAGTAGAAGTACTAGGTTAGATAGAAAGAATACCTACTAGAAGAAGATACCTAGAAACTACTAGAGAATCTTAGAAACTACTCTAAGAAACTTAAGAAGTTCTATTAGTAGTACTAACTCTAAAACCTAGAGACTAGAACTCTAGATTCTCTAGATAACTCTAGTTAAATAACTAAAGAGAATTAACTAGAGAAATAAAAGGTTATAGCTATAAGAGTTACTATACTTTATACTCTAACTACTCTAGCTTCTTAATATTAGCTAGGTCTTTTAAAAGTAGTACGTCGCAATAACGCTATACTAGCTTTAACTACTTTTATAGACGCTTGCTACAAGTATTCGCAGACTGCTAGAATTTACTTAGAGACGCCTTCTAAGAATATAGATAGTCTAACTTAGCATAAAGATAAACTAACTCTATCTACTAAGTCTTAGTAAGGCGCCTTGTCTTAAGACTAGCCTTAGACTACTAAGAACGCAAATTAGCTACTAACTAATTTAGCTTCTCTACCTCTTTCTAGTTTAGCACCTTATTATAGAACTAACTCTTTATAATATACTCTAAATAGTAGCTAGAAGATACCTCTATAACGTAACGTAGGTTATAGAAGTAGTAAGTACTATAAGAGTTATTAGATATATTAACGCTAGTACGTAGAATAAGATTAGCGTAATAGTAGTAATAAACTATTAAAGACTTAGTATACGTAGGTAGCATAGTAGAAATAGAAAGAGAAGAGAGAATATAATACTATAGAACTATAGGTAGTACTACTCTTATATAGAAATAGCGTAGAATAATAAAATACTATATCTAGAAATAGAATAGAGCTTTAGAATAATACTTTAGAAGAAGAGGTAGGTATTATAATTATAGAATTAGAAATAGAGTTAGCTAGCTAGAATAGAGAAAATAGTAAACTAAGCCTAGAGTTATAAGATAAAGAATTACGTATAAAGTTATAAGAGTAATTAGAGTTAGGTAACGTAGATTAGAGAAATTAGAGAGATTAGAATCTAATTTATAGATTAAGACCTAATCTAAGAGATCTATAGAAGCTAGACCTTAGCGCCTAATCTAGCTAAGAAGGTATATATATATAACTAGAAGAAGCTTACTTCTTATAGCTTCTTATAGTTATTACTTTGTTTATTAAATTACTATAGAGACTTGTAATTTATAGTATTATTATATTTACCTCTTTATTACTAAAGATCTAAGCCTAAAGTATACCTCTTACCTTCTCTTACAAAAGTAAGCTCTAGTCTTAGTTAAGAGAATAGCTTATAATATATAGTATATTATATCTTATATTAAAGTTATACTAAGATATATTACGTAATTAAAAAGCTATATATATTTAACTAAATTTTAGAAAAAATCTAGTTTTCTTCTAGTAAGTACTATTATATCTCTATAATAATCTATAAAACTTATAGTATATAGTAT